CCTCCTGTTCTCTTCTTCTTTTTCGTTTTTCTTAACATATCTTGCATTATTTGTTTCAGAAGTACAGATCTGTGATTCAGCAGTCTTGCACAATTCACAGCGCTCACCATAGCACATACCCTCCCCAATGTCTATCACCCAGCCACCCCATCCCTCCCACCCCCCACCACTCCAGCAACCCTCAGTTTGTTTCCTGAGATTAAGAATTCCTCATATCAGTGAGGTCATATGATACATGTCTTTCTCTGATTGACTTATTTCACTCAGCATAACACCCTCCAGTTCCATCCACGTCGTTGCAAATGGCAAGATCTCATTCCTTTTGATGGCTGCATAATATTCCATTGTGTATATATACCACTCCTTCTTTATCCATTCATCTGTCGATGGACATCTTGGCTCTTGCCACAGTTTGGCTATTGTGGACATTGCTGCTATAAACATTGGGGTGAACGTACCCCTTCGGATCCCTACATTTGTATCTTTGGGGTAAATACCCAGTAGTGCAATTCCTGGGTCGTATGGTAGCTCTATTTTCAACTGTTTGAGGAACCTCCATACTGTTTTCCAGAGGGGTTGCACCAGCTTGCATTCCCACCAACAGTGTAGGAGGGTTCCCCTTTCTCCACAACCCCGCCAACATCTGTCGTTTCCTGACTTGTTAATTTTAGCCATTCTGACTGGTGTGAGGTGGTATCTCATTGAGGTTTTGATTTGGATTTCCCTGATGCCGAGCGATGTTGAGCACTTTTTCATGTGTCTGTTGGCCACCAAATGTGCTCTTTTAAGTGGCACAAGCTTCTGGGCCTAATAACCCTTCAGAGCTTCTGTTGCCAACATGACTGAAATTCAAATTAAGCCTACTCTGCTCCTAGTTGATTCAAGCAACAGTTGCTGACTGATGGAAACACTGTTAAGGCTAGACACACTAATATGTACCATGTCCCATTCCCCCAGTAATCGGATTCTAAAAAGTCTGCTCTTTAAATAATAGCAAATGTAGACAGGGAGTTCAAGACAGCCAGGGGCTCTGGTCATGGTATAGAAGTGATTCTTTTGTACAGGTATGGAAGGTATTTCATTCTATAATGTAGTCAATTTTCTTTCTTTCTTTTTTTTTTTTTTAAGAGGGAGAGCGCAAGAGGGGAGGAGCAGAGGGAGAAGGAAAGAGAATTTTTTTTTTTTAAAGATTTATTTATTTGAGAGAGAGGGAGAGTGTGAGCCCAGGGTAGGGGGATGGTGGGTGCAGAGAGAGAGAATCTCCCTGAGATCATGAACTGAGCCAAAATCAAGAGTCAGACACTTAACTGACTGAGCCACCCAGGTGCCCCTGCAGTAAATTTTCATACGCTTGAAATTATCCTTGGTCTATCTCCTAAGGGTACCCAAGGCTTATACACCAAAAAGGCCTCCACCTTCCCAGCCCAAGGCTGAAGAGGTTAAATGGCGGGCAGCCCTGTTGGTGTGGGAGAAGAGCACGTTTCCATGTGACAGTTGGTCTTCCTACACTTTTAATAGGTTGCTGAGGAACACATAGGATCAATACAAATGTGAGAGGAAAAAATATGAATGTAAGAGGAAGTGGGGGGGACTTTGGTTTTGTTTCTTTTTGAAGAAGAGCTGGAACCACAGATGTTTGATAAGAACAATCTGAGAAAAAGGAAGTAAAGGGAAGCTGTAGTAGCAGATAAGGATTTGCAGGAAATAGTACATTTTTCATCTGTGAGAAGAACTAAAATTAGCAGCTCAAGATATCAAATCTTCCTGTAGTAAGAGGATTTGGAGGGAATTTTCTCACAAGAGGCCACAATCCTAAACAGAGAATAACGATCATGAACTACCTTTGCGAGCGGATAAATCACTCTTCCAGAGGAAAACTGAGGAATGGGAAATCAATTTTCGAAGTGGGGAGTTACAGAGGTTGCATTTATGTCTTATTTCTAATGGCAACAAGAGAAAAAACGAACACCAAGTTGAATATGTTTCCTCAGAGAGCTTCAGGGTGACTGTATCCTCCTACCAGACCCACTCCTTTCATGTTCCCATGGAAAGATCAGCGATAGAATTTGGAAATGCCTATCAAGGTAATGGACGTAAGTCTTACATGGGTAACAGAGGTTTAAGAATAGAACATACTCATATACAATCCTCAACAAATATAAAAGCTGGATCTCCCTAGCCTTTTGAAAACCAAATACTCAGTCCTACTATTGTCTGATGCAGATAAGCAAGTTCTTTCTCACTGGACACATCTGTAAAGAAAACAGAACCAAAAACCCTCTTCTTAAGTTCAATGAAGAAGAAATCTGCTTTTCTGACTTCTAAGTCCTATAAGCCAGTAGCATACCAGGAAGAATAAAGATTTCATTCTGTCCACAGCAGAAATCAAACATCTGGGGATGATTTAGGGGAGCAGGGGCACCGGGGGCAGGGGTGGGATGGGGAGCCCCCGACTGAAGTGACCCAGCCTGTTCTTCCCCCACTGCGCCAGCAAGAAGAAATGCATGTCATCACCTGAGGTTCCTATCCCTCAGCCCCAACTTCACTTCTGAGTACAGAACACACATAACTTTTGCTCATCATCTTGCAAGTTTCTCCAAAAGTAATCACCCCTCTCACCTGAACTCTTGATAGGTCTCTGATAAATAATTGTTCATAGAGGAGAGATGCTCGTTTTCTCCTTCGAACAGCTTGTTGGAGGCTGCATGCTGAAGAACCTTGGCCACTGATCCCAAGTTTCTCCTTTGGTCAGGATTGATCTGACCTCCAGCAGTCATGTCAATGATATCAAAGCCATCGGGAGCTACGATTGCTGGGTTCATGTACCGGTAGTACAGGAGGTTTCCTACAATCTGGAGGGACGCAGAGGAAAAGACCGTTTTTAAGAGAAACAACTCAAGAGTTTTAGATTTTTAAAAATTGAAGTAAATATTCATTGCCGTTTCCCAAGAAAGATCATTTTCTGATTGAATCCTAAAAAGGAGTTCTGTAAAGGTAGTGAAAATAGTCACACATTACCAACATAGCTAGCCAAGTTATTTTTGGTGAAAAATAGCATAATTAGAGCATATTGTCCCCAAATGCTCTAATATAAAGATTCTCAATAATGTGTAAGATCTCTAAAGTAATTTCAGCATCATCAATAATCTTGACAGTCATTCAAAACCGAAGACCTGCAGCTTTTTATAAACAGTCATGTGGAGGGAAAAAAATCTCACAAAATGTAATGCTGATAATTTTGGCTCATGCCCCCAACAGAAGCTATGGTGAGATGACCCTTGAAAATCTACCTTTAATAGCTCATCTTCTGTGGCATCAGGAAATTTCTCATGGATCGAATTCTTCAGTACTTTGGCTATATACCTCAATCCATAACTACATGTAAAACAGATGACAAAAGAAAATAATGGGAAAAGGCTAAGTGAGAAAGAAACACAAAGCAGTTGTTGTAGTCAACTACAGTGGAGCAGTTTTCTTAAAAATTAAACATAAAATGAGATGGTAACAGAATCACAGGACCTTCACTGATGACAGTCACTGAGCACTGTTTTTAGTGTTCCCTCTTTGGAGAACAGTAATGAACTTAAAATGCAAATGCGGGCAAACTTTTAAAATCATGTTAAAACAGTATGAGGGAGAATGCCTATCTTGACTGCCAGGATTTATTTAACATCGTGTTGCAAGAACTTTGAGGGAAGAACGTTCAAGTAGCTACGTGTACAACTTACGGCAGGAGATCAAGGGAAGAAATGATAGAATTCAGGACTCTGTCAGTGACCCTTCTCAGATTCTCAATGGATGCCTCCAGTTTATTTTTCACTTCTGGGTATGTTAGAGCTTGTTCGGTGGTCACGTCATAAGGCAGCTTGCTGAAAACACAAGGGCTTTCAATTAATTGGGGGGCTTAGGAACAAGCATTTGTGTTCTTGCCAAGCTGTTTGTACAATCAAGTTTTGTACAGTGAAGTGGACTCCACCCACTGACCTCAGGCGCAAAATGTTTGCCAACTGAGGGGAGGTCCCATGTGCCTGGACAGTCCCCCTGCCACTAGTGGATGAGGGGGACTCCAGGCTCTCTCTCGGGACTCTTCTGGCAAAATAACAGGAGACTCAGGTGATACAGAACCGGCTTTCTCTCTCTCTCTCTCTCTTTTTAAGTAGGTTCCCCCAGTATGGAGCCCAACCCTGACATCAAGATCTGAGCTCAAGACCTGAGCTAAGATCAAGAGTTGGATGCTTACGCAGCCCTCCCTCTTTTTTTTTTAATTACAAAAATACAGTATGTTCATTACAGAAAAAATTGCATATAAACAAACAAGAATACAATACCAACCCAGAGACAACCATCTTTCATATCTTGGTGCATAATTTTCTAAGTCCTACTCTATACATCTGTGTATGTGGGCCTAACACACACCTGGGTATAATAGAGTTGATACATATACACATTCCATACAGATCCCCCCCACACATGTATTTTTATAGAAAATGGTTTATTGTACTCAACTACAACTGAAAAGTATACCACAAACATTTTTTCCATGCCAATAAAAATATTTCTATTCCATTTTTCCAAACAGTTACTAAGTCTACCATGTGTTATACAAATATTTATTTAACAAATTCCTCAAAGCTAAATATTTTGACTTTCCCCAACTTTTTGCTGTTACAAACAGTGCTGTGAGAACCATCCACGTAATTCTCTGTGCGTATATTAACGATTGCACAAGGCATCCTTTTGCACAAGATAAAAAGCTGAGATTGCTTAGATTTACTAACTACCACCCAGAATAAGCCTATCCTACCTGGCTTATTAATGCTTACACAGGAAACTTACTCACTTGGTAACTGTAAAAAGTATGTATCATCAGGTAAAGAGAAAGTCTGTACTATTTCTAGGTCTAGGTTTAGAAACACACACAGAGCAACCAAGGGAGAGAATAACAGAAGTTGTGGCTCTGGGGGTCAACCAGTCCTGAAACTGCCTCTGGACAGTAAATTCTGTTCTTTTAAGGAGAGTTTAAGAGGATATATATCATAACCATGTAAAAATGATCATAAAACATGACTGAAAACCAACATCTTCCGGGCTCAGGTACCTGGCTTCTCCAGTCTGTGTTTCTAGTTGGTTCACCCAAGCCTTGTACACCTCTACAGGGCTCGTGTTGATGGCCAGGGACTTGTCATCCAGGATCTCTTTCACCACTGGAGCCAGGAGCTGGCGCAGCGTGTTCTGTCCTCGGGCACCTCTGTTGAAGCTCACAACCATCTTGATGACCGTGGGGTTCCCAGTCACTATGTCCTGTACCTGATCCACCTTTGATCTAAAAGAAGCCCAGACCAAAACAAATGGGTTGCCTGCATGGACAGAGTTTTAAACAGCCTATGTTCTCTCTGGTGGGCAAGGACTTCATGAGGCTCCACTTCCTCCCTGAGAACCAACGGCGGCATGGTTTAAAAGCAAGCAATCATTTGTAAGATGTGTGTTCGTTATGCGAGGGACTCGAGGATGTAAAAATAAGTGCTCGGCTTTAATTCCGATCTAGAAGGCAGGAAGGAACTAAAAGTGGACTGACACTAAGAAGAAGCCAGGGGGCTACCGCGCAAGTACTATGTCCCATCTAGTTACCACATTTCAAAAACAATGTTCTCGATTCAATGAACTAAATCCACTTCTTCAAATCACATTCAAATTCTCCTCAGGGAAGCTTCTGGCTACCTCACATGGTGGGAGAGAGCTGCTCTTGACTGCTGATTGCCGACTCCCAGGAGCTTCCCTGACCCGCCTCCCTTTCATCTCGGTGCAGCCTCCCACCCTCCCACGTGAGCACGTACTCCCTGTACACCCCCTTTCCCCTCAGCGTCTCAGAGTGCTGGGGTCCAGTCCTCATCTTACCCAGTTGTTCCCTTGGTTTCCTTTGCTGGCTCCGCTCCCCCCATTTTAACTGTTTGCTCTCACGTCTTTCTACATGATCTACCCTCAGACCTCGCTCAGATGTGCAACCTCAACGACCATCTCCTTGGAACTTGTCCTCTGAGCTCAGCATCTAATCCACCTCTCCTCCCTGGGAATTGGTTTTGGATTTCTGATTTTCTGCTGGACATTTTGCCCTTCACGTTCTATACTTGTAGCTCACACTCATTGTGTTAAAAATCCAAACCGTATTTTTTTCCTTCTGACTCTATTTCTCTGACTCGTGCAGCTGCCCTTTATTCTGTTCATACACAGCAGCAGAGGGATCCTCGAGAAACCTAGCATGGCCATGGTGATACTCTGCTCGAAGACCTTTCAGGGCTTCCAAGGAAGCGAACGGTGCCTTAGCATGTGGGCCTGGGCTCAGTGGTTCCCGTGATCTGGCCCAACCTATCTTTCTAGCTCCATCTCCAGGCCGTGACTAGTTAAATCACATTTTGGCGAGATTGATCCTATGTTCTTTCACTGATTTTGGCCCATGCTCTTTCTGTCAACATTGTTTCTTATTTCCCTTTTCCATTTCTTCTTATAAAAAACTGTAGATATTCTTGAAGGATTTGGATCAACTACTTCCTCTTCCTAAAGTCTTTTTTTTTTTTTTAAAGATTTTATTTAGTCATTTGAGACACAGAGATAGAGACAGAGAGAGAGAGCATGAGCAGGGGGAGAGGCAGAGGCAGAGGGAGAAGTAGGCTCCCCGCTGAGCCAGGAGCCCGATGCAGGGCTCGATCCCAGGACCCTGGGATCATGACCTGAGCCGAAGGCAGACACTTAACCATCTGAGTCACCCAGGCGCCCCTCTCCCTAAAGTCTTTATCGGCTGACCTAACTGGAACTTTTCTACCTTCCTCCCTTTCTTATTTATTATCTTTTGAGTAGAGTTGACACACATTACATTAGTTTCAGGTGTACAGCTTAGTGATTTGACAAGTTTATACACGATGCTATGTTCCCCACAAGTATAGCTGTGTCCGTCCCATTACACTGTTAAATTGCTATTACAATATCATCTGTAACTGGAACTTCTCTCTCCATCCCTCTGATCTGTTATACTGTGTGTGTCATTCATTAGTACTTATTTCTTCCAGCGCACACATTCCTATTTCTCATGTATCCTATTTCTCAGGCTGGCTTACAGATACCCTGAGGGCAGAGGTTCCTAGCTAATATGCTTCTGAGATCCATAGGAACCCGTATAGCTCAAGTTATAAAAAGCCAGGAAGGCAGCTGACATCCATCTTGTTGGCTAAGGGCATTTTTTCCTGTATTCTTTTGGCCCCTTTAATACAGGCATCTGCACATTCTTTTTTACATTAACTGAATCAGAAAATAAGTCAGCAAAAGTCAGTTTAAGTTTCAGTAAGAGAAGTAAAAGATGACTTTTTGGCAGAGACTATTATCCCCATCTGTTTATAGGTTTATTACTCACAGAATTTTAATTAAGTTAAATTTTTTCCACTGACTTTCAAAAAAGCTTTTGCTTTTCAAGTTGCTGTTTACTTGCAAAATCAAAAATAATTTAGCTCTAAAAAAGCTATCACTGGTGGGAGAAAGCTGTAACAGGAAATACCTACAGTGATGTAGAAATTTCTTAAGTGAATTGATATACGTGAATATATATGAGTAACTTATAAGAATAATTTAAATGCTATTTTAGTAAATCAGAGATAGCTGCCACTAAAATGATCTATTCATTGATATTTTTACATATCTATTTATATACATACTTTATTTCTTCCTCCAGAGCAGTCTTAAAAAGCTTGAGGAGTAGATATTCTTCTCGTTGATTGGAAGCGTAATTGTATAGTGTGAAAATAACAGTATCCATAAATTTAGTTGACTTGTTCTGTGGCATCTGGAAAATCAGCTTAGCCAGGTATAAAGGATTGGTCTAAAAGAAAAGAGGGAAGAAGGAAAAAGTCCCCCACAAAACTGTATGTTAATATATTATTAAAACAGAGAGGAGCGCCCTATTCCCTTTAATACGTATAAAGCATATAGTGGAGTATCTGACACATAATAAGACTTTAAAAGGTGTCAGCTAAAATTAATTACTATAGGAAGTTATATTATAAAGCTACGATAGGATTTAAGTTTTATATGCTATATATTTAATGAAATATAATTACATTATGTACATTATACACTGTTAAACATTTCAAGCTACATATTAATATTTAATGTAGAGACACAGAAGAGAGAGGGGTTGGCCAATAGAATCCGGTATCTGAAGAGACTGGCAATAATGAACCAAGAGACCAGCTACATAGATTATTCTAGAAGGACTGATAAATGAACGGAAGGAAATACGTCCCATATTCTGAGGCTAGAAAGAAAAAGAAGAGGATACATTTGCATGTAGAGACGGTGGGATGGCCAGGATGTTTTATAAGGAGAGAGAAGGTAGGGGTGAGGTGGGGAGGCTGAAGGGAGGGGTGAAGGTCAGGAGAGCTGATGGATGAAATGGCAGAAGAAAGCGACAGAAAAAAAAAAAAGACAACTTAAAACTCAAGAATTTAAAAAAAAAAATTGACGTGGATTCCTGAGGGCTCTTCTGAGGGTGGGGTTTCTGAGCTACACCAGCAGCCTTCACGTAGTATGGGTTTTCTCCAGGAGCTACACCAACCAGATGTGGTGAGAGGAGAACAACTACTATTTAGGTTATAGAGGAAAATATTTACATAGAGAAATTAAATGTCTCTACTCTTCGTCTTCCTGCTGATGAGAAGAGAAAATTTTCCATACATGGAAACTGGTCTTCATTTAATACACTCAAGCAGTTTGGCTTTAAAGTTTTTAAGGAAAACCCAAATTCTAGTTTACCTTACTACTTAGGTTTACTTGCAAGCTCATCATGAGTGAAACTTTATGAAGCAGTAGCTGAGCACAACGTTTCCTTTACGGTTCTGCCGTGATTCTTCTCCCACACTAAGCATATGGGATTAGGAGAAAGGAAACTCACTCTAAAGCTAAAAAGCCTACACTCCTCACACTTCCCAGACGACCTGAACACTTTCCATGGAGGTTGAGACTGAAGAGGCCAACGCCAAGCAAAACCTTTACGAGCTGACCTGTGCTTTGGCTCAGACTTCTGGCCAACGCATCATTCAAAGGCCAAAGGAATCTAGACCGTTTGCTTTTCGGTAGTTTCCTCAATGATCTCAGGCTAATGTCTCCGAGAAAAGGTAAAGAAAATTACATGAGTTCAAGAGACGCTGCACTTGGTACAACTGGATGGTGGAGCTCTGGGACTAGCAGTTTTGGGTTGCTTGGAGAATAAAGTGGTGGAATTATTCTCAAGATGGTCCTGCGTTTTTTATCCTTTCCATTCATGGGTTTCCACTTATAGAACGAGGTAAAAAATACAAGTCTTAGGCCAATGACCAGAGTTTCACTTTTCTTAGGACACAAATTCTATCAAAATCTACCACGAGAAACTAAATCCTAAAGAAGCCTCATACATTTGGGAGGTTCATCGAGGTCAAAACAAATAAACGCCTAAAATTAAATTTCCAACTGGTGGATAACTACTAGCCTAATTTAGGAAGACAAAAACCCTTCCCTACCCAGTGGGAGCCCCTTGTCTTTCTGGAAGGTTTGCTGGGATTAATTAAGCAATGGATTCTATGAACAATAATATTGTTTTAACACTTTCCTTCTATGCTGCCACATCGTGGCCATCTGTGGTACTACACCTGCTCGCCGGTCTTAACTCCAGACAGAGAATTCTCATCTGTCCTAAAATCAACGTAACTTCTTCCATGTGGCAAACCACACCTCACCTCATTCATGGTTTGGGTAACGTGTTCTCTGTATACCTAATGTCAGCGTGGTCCCCAAGGAAAGATTCAGGGACCCTCAGGCCTTGAGGGAGTCCCTACCAACAGCAGCAGCAGCACCCCCTACACAAAGGGACACCTGTCTCCAGGAAGAACTGCCGAGCCACCTTTCCAGGGAAAGTTGTCCTGCCAAAGGGAGGCTTTCTTTATCACTAAACAAAGTGATAAACTTCGCTTTGCTTACTTACTCAGTGCTTACTCACTTTCCTTCGGGACTAAATGGATGTGCTGGTAGGACAGTTAAGGTGAATCAGTGATTAACCAAAACAGTAACTGGTCCACCACAGTCCAACCATAAGCAGTTCAACTTATTCTCACCTGCACCCTGGAAGCAGTGGAAAATGACCGTTCATTGACATCGTAGTAATGCCATGAAAATAAGGAAATCAAAAAGATGCCCTACTGCCCTAATTCAAACTCTCTGGTTCTATTCCCAAAAGAAGGGCAGGCTGGTTCAGGTAGAGGTCCATTTTGCACATACTTTAATTTTTTCATGGCTGACAGCATCTGCTTATTTTATGACTAGGTTTATACTATCTCTGCACACAACTGTAATATAACAGTCTCAGAAGCAAGGGCTCCGAAGTCAAACTGCCTGGGCTCCAATACCCTTGGCTTTACCATTTACCGGCTGCATCTTAGTTTCCTCATCTGCAGTATGGGAATAACAATAAGTGTTGTGTTCTGAGGGTTGTGGTAAGAATTAAAAGATATGATGTACGTAAAGCATCCTGAATAGCACTTGGTACTTAGTAGTAGCTCACACATGTCAGCGACTACAACTTTACATCGGGAAAAGATCCATTATAAACCACCAACAAGGAATATAGTATTGATCCAAAGCTTTTACTGAAAGCAATTGTTCTCACCTGTAAAAGATAAAACAGCTGCTGATATGTTTCTAGTGTTTTTCTTCTCTCCTTACTCAAACTTTTAATTCCCTGGTTGTCAGCGTTATTCAGTATTTGCATTTCTCCACCCTTTTTCTTATTTAGCTTCGTTCTGTGCGAAATTACATCCTGGAAAAAATTTATGAAATGATTACTTTTTATTCTGCTGTTTTTTACCTCCTCCCTTCACACACACCTCAAAACACATGTGTTGGAAAGATTAATTTTCCACATTTCCCTTAGGAAGAAACAAAATTTCTGAATTCGGCTTTTGTAATATTTGTTCTCTAAAGCTGTACTTAGCTGTTCTTAAGATGAAATGTAGGCACCAATACATTTCAATAGGGAAAGAATGGCCTTTTCAACAAATGATTCTGGGATAACTGGATATCCACATTTACAAGAAAGAAGTCAGGCTTCCCACTTCATACCATAAACAAAAATTAACTCAAAAGAGATCAAAGAACTAAAGGTAGGAGCTAAAACTATAAAACTTTTGAAAGAAAACCTAGACATAAATCTTTGTCCCTTTGGATTATTAGGCAATGGTTTCTTACATATGACATCAAAAGTACTAGTGACAAAAGAAAAAATAAATTGGACTTCATAAAAAGTAAAACCTTTGTGTTTTAAAGGACACTACTAATGAAATAAAAAGACAACCCACAGAAGGGGAGAAAATGTTTACATTGAATGAGGGATATAAAGAACTCTTGCATTTCAAAAATAAAGGCAACCCAGTCAAACACGGGCAAAAGATTTGAATAGACATCTTCCCAATTCATACCTTGCTGGTGGGAATGTAAAATGGTATACCCACTTAGAAAACATTTTGGCAGTTCTTCAAAAGTTAAACACAGAGTTACCACATGACCCAGCAGTTCCACTCTTAGGTACATACCCGAGAATGGAAGACCAATGTCCACACAAAAATGTGTACATGAATGCTCACAGCAGAATTATTCATAATACCCCAAAAGAGGAAACAACTCATATGTTCATTAACTGATGAATGGATAGACAAAATATAGTATATCTGTAAATGGAATGTTATTTGTCAATAAAGAGGAATGAAGTACTGATTCAGGCTAAAACCTGGGCAAACCTTAAAAACACAATACTAAGGGAAAAAAGCCAGTCACAACAGATCACATACTGTGTGATTCCATTCATATGAAATATCCGTAACAGGCAAATCTGGCCAGAAAATAGATTAATAATTGCTCTGCTGTAGGGGAGAAGAGGTAGTAAGTGTTAATGAGTATGGGTGTTCTTTGTTTTTTTTGAAGTGAAATGTTATTCACATAATGATAAAACTCACATACCATCTAATTTGAGAACATTTTCTCTGGGGTTTCTTTTTGGGGTGAATGTTCTAGAATTATGGATGTTATGGTCCTACAATTTTGTGAATATACTAAACATCACTAAAGTGTACACTTTTAAAGAATGAATTAGATCTTTTCAAACTATAAAAGCACTTGCAAAAAATATGCAATGTAGAAATTAGAGATGGACGTGAAAGGAATCCCCTAAATATTTAACAAAATTTATTTTTCTCAATCTTGCTCCTTTAACCATTTACAACAGAATCTTGGAAAAGGTGTGGCTGCAAACCTTGTCAAGTAGTCATTTCAGGCTACTGTGTCCCCTTCAAGTGTGTAAAGGGTCATGAACAAGAGCAGGACTCTTAGGTAAGGGTCTACCAAATATTTTTACAGGGACCCACAGCACAAAATACATCTTACATCTTTTGCTGGTAAACACACATGCACATGCACACACACACGCCATATGAAATACTTATCCATACTACTGCGATACACTTTGGTATCTTCAATTTGCTTTTATTCTCCTCAACTTTTAAAGATTGCTGATGTGACTCGCTTAATTGCTTTCATGAACCACCAATGGCACAGGACTCAAATGAAAGCCAGTGCTCTAGAATGCCTGCCTCCTCTGCCATGTAACAATGGGTCACCGTCCCACAGAGTAGGTGGCAATAAAGCTGTTTTTCCTAAATCTTCTTCCATCTGCTTCCCTGAGCTCTTAGCCCAGCCTCCATGTGAGGAGTTGATTTGCAGCCAGCATCAGGATGTTCGACCACGGTTCCTGAGGAGGGGCACTCCAGGAATTTCAGATAATACAATGCTTTATTGAGCATGCATCCCTGGATCACTGGTCATCTGGCATCCCTGGCCCCTGTCCATCAGATGCCTGTAGGGACCCCAGTCATTCGGACAACCAAAAACGTGCCTGCCACCATTTCCAGTTGCCCCTGGGGATGAGAACTACGGTCAGCTTTTGCATACAGGTTCTAAATCTGCTTACGTCCTAGCATCCCGTTCTCCCATAGCTAGGGTCAATCCATGGGTAGAAAAAAAAAACACCCCTTGGAGTTGTGCTCTCAGAAAGTTCCATGTGGTTATACCCACTGTCTTGTGGGTCTATGATTTTATTCTTTGCCATTCTCAGCTTAGGGAGGGGCCACCTGGACTTTATCCCTTATATCTGGCCTCCTAACTGCTAGTATGCAGAAAGAGGGGGGTTTGATTTGCATTTCCATGAACTTTTTTAAAAAGGCAACATTTTCACCCTTGTTTCATAAGCATATGAAAAATTTCAGGATGAAGAAAGGAAGTGTACTAAGCACCAGCTGGAGGTTAAGGGGTAAGTCTGGGCAGGTAGCTGCTTGACGTCCTTATTGACAAGAAGTCCTAAAATATCACTAGATTAAGTCTGGTTTACAACTCCATATATCCCAGCTTTCTTCTCTTCATCATTCAAATCTCTCAAATACGTGAAGTAAATAGATTTTCTTGGTTTTAAATATGTGGCAGACATAAAATCTTGGTATTTAACTCCCCTTCCAATTATTTTCAATGGAGGTGGCTCTGGAAACTGAAGACTTTTCGTTTGTTTTATTCTTGGACTTCATCCGTATGTTAGGTTTTTGACATACACAGAAGAGGAGAGAGAAGAGAGGGTGGGAGTGGCAAGCAAGCTCCGGAGCAGAACTAAATTCCTTTGCATTAGAAGAGAGACATTTGGTGAGGGCAGGACAGGGAGAGTAATCCAGGACGGGAAGCCGAGCGTCAGATGCTGAGCCCTGGAGGGGAAAGGGTGGGGGCAGATGGAACACAGTGTCTGCGGCAGATCCACTGCAGAGTGGTGCAGAGCATGGCAGAAAGCCCATCTCCCTGCTTCCCTGAAATTATGCCTTGCTCAAGACTTCTCTTGTGTCAACAGAAGTTTTCTTTGGGAAGCTCAAAGAAGGATCCAAAGGCCAACCAGGGAGGGGTTCCAAACGCATATGCTTTTCACTAATAGAAATTTCATGTCCTTTATTCTTACCAATAAGTCTTGAACATGGGAAGCACAGTGGTTTGAAGGAGCAACAGTATTTAACTTGTTCATGATATTCCCTCATTTTGATGTTGCCCTGATGGCCACCATTTTGTCCCTTCCCCTGATCACAGGATACCTGCGTGCAGGTCATAGGCTGTGGTACGAAAAAGTTTGTAGGAGGTGTAGAGTAGTACAAAGGGTCTGGGCTTTGGAGACATGAAAGTAGGGGTACCTGCACAGCGCTGTTAGCTTTGCCACCTTGCACAGGTTAACCTCTCTAAGCCTCTTTCCTAAATCTATAAAATGGGCTTAATGATAGCAGCCTCAGTTGCTGTGAAGGTTAAAAACAACATATGTGAAGCACTCAGCACATTTTCCAGTGAAAACAAGGCTCAGAGAGGTTCAGAAACATGCCCAAGGAAACTTGCTTATATCCACAGTGAAGCTGTAAAATTAGTCTTCCCCTGGGTTTTCAGTAGCCCTGGCCTCAACGTCTGCACCCGTTACACACCACATTCATCAATGAGTATTTCAGAGGTTCAAGGTTCCTTTTACTTTCCTTTTTTTCTTTTTCAAAAAGATTTATTTGCTTATTTTAGAGAGCACGTGCACTCGTGTGAGTGCAGACAGGGGTGGCAGGAGAGGGAGAGACAGAATCTCAAGCGGCGCACCCCCCCCCCCAGCATGGAGTCGGATGCAGGGCTCGATCCTACGACCCTGAGATCATGACCTAAGCTGAAATCAAGAGTTGGATACTTAACCAACTGAGCCACCCAGGTGCCCCAAGATTACTTTTACTTTCTATTCAGATTTTCTTTCAAGCTTGTTTGAATTTATACCTTTCTTCCTCCATTCCCTAAGAAACTTCTACTTCAGTTGCTTTGTCTCCATCTCTAAGCCATTTTTTTTTTTTTT